TTCAAACAAAACAAAAGATAAATATTAAATAAAAAGATAAACTAAATTAAATATATAAAGTCTAAAATAAATAAGAATGCAAAATAAAATACAAATAAATAAAAATATAAAATATAAAAAGGAAAAAGGAAAAAATCCAACAAATAAAAATATTGAAGTATAACATTCGTGCTTCTCTGAGAGTAACCATTTCCTTGTCACGCTCAACATGAGAGCCGGTGTAGTACTTTAATCGTTATCCATTGACTTTAAAATCATGTACGTCGATGGTGAACTTGATTATTACGTCACTATGGGAGAAAGGTATTACTACCTCAAACGGCCTAGACCATCTCGATTTTAGTTTTCCCAGAAAAAAATTTAACCGAGAATTGAAAAGAAGTACTATTTTCCCTCATAATGGGTTCAATTCTAACATGGGAGGCTGCTCAATAGAAGCTTTTCGAGTTTATCTTCTTAATCAGAGTAGTCTCAAAATATTTACGATGTCAATTTGTTATCCAAGGGGCTTAATATTGCTCTCCATCGCCCGATTCTTCAATTTCTTTTGGTTCAACAATAGAATTACCATGGAAATTCTCATATTCTTGAAAATTGAATTCGATGGTGGCATGAATAACTTGGCATTCTTCTGGATCATCAACATACTTTAAGGTTGGAAAAACATTTAGTTTGACTTGTTGGTCATTCACTCTCATAGTGAGTCCTCCCCTTCCAACATCAATTAAGGTTCTTCCCGTTACTATGAATGGTCTTCCAAGGATAATAGGTGTGAACTCATCTGAGTCACAATCCAAAATAATGAAGTCAGTGGGAAAAATAAATTTATCAACTCTTACCAGTATATCAGTTTTTCCCTCTGGTTGCACATAGGATCTGTCTGTAACCTGTAACATAACTGTCGTAGGTCTCACCTTCCTGATACCCTGTAACACCCATAACCCATATAATTATACCTATACAGATTATAGATGTTATCCAAATTTCTAAAACCATTTTACGATTAAAAAGCGATTTAAAATTTATTTTCTTAAAATAGTAAATGATATTATAAAAATATCATATCATATAAAATTACGTTTCGTTATAACAATTTAATTCAAAATATTTTTATTTATGAATAGTGAATAGTACCCCGAACAGTGAACAATGGGCGAATCGATTCCTTGTAGCAGGGGAATCGGTACCCTTTAACAATATGGAAATTTGCTAAAACGTGGTTACGGTAGCAATGAACAGTAACTGCTACAGTAACTGCAAAAATACATATAAGTTTATAAAATTCCATTTTTTTTCTTCTTCAATTTTGTTCAACAAAGCAAAATCAAACATAATAATTATATGCAACTAATTAAGTCTACATTACATTTTAGGATGTCTTACTGATAAAGAAATATACTTCTTGATACTCGATGTTGCCTTGAACTCTCTATTCTTCTACGAGCTTTTTACCTACGCGTGAAAATCATCACACGCTAAGTATATACTTAGTGAGACAATTAAAACATTAAATAGTGCAATAAAATTCATGCATGAATTTAGATTTCAAATCCAATGCCATAAAACCATGCTATTAGCATATTCATAATTTTACCATGATCAAAATATCATAACTGAATATAAAAATATTCTTTCCAAAATACTTGTCATTCATTCCAATAACTCGTAAGCTTATTTGCAAAACTTACCATTTATTAACCAATAAACCATAAACCATAGACAATAGCCCAATATACAACCCTGAGGACCCTGGGTACGCGAGTCAAATATAAGCACCTGTACACATAAGGTCGTGCCCACCATCTGTACTAGGTATCCTTAAGTACAGTCTCGAATATGACACATAAGGTCATGCCCACCATATACACTAGGTATCCTTTAGTGTATTCCCGAATATGCAGCCTACTGCTGGACTCTATGGCATGCCAACTATACCCTGTCCCTCAATAACTGACTTGGGCATACAGTCTATTTTATTTGATTCATCCATGGCAAAGTATATTATCAATATTTAACAATGGGGCAGTTCATACCTGAAATATCATTCATGGTAAAATATCACATTTTCCAAAATCAATACATTATAATTTCATACTCTGACATATCAATGTCATGTCAATTTATAAAAATACGGTATAATATCATGCTGATAAAACAATGTTGACTTATCGCAAGTCTTCCTGATGATGTATAAAACATCCATGTATAATTTCATGCATATATTGCACTCACCTTGACACTTTATAATTTTCCAAAATAAGCCTCACTATTGTCCACAATAACCCTTTTCTTTTATACTCGAATCGTTTTGAACACCGAGTAAATCAAAATCTGTACAACATATAGATTCATACTTATATATGTTAGTATTGTACTAACATAAATATATATATCCAAAATATATTCCACAATCATGCTTCAAACTATTCACCACAAAATACTTTAACATTTATTCATTTTTTTTAGTATTGGAACCAACTTTTCCAATTTACTCAAAATGGTCTTTCACCATTTTATCACCTAAATCTTTAATACCAAAAATTCCAGTATAGCATATAAATTATATAACACTTACACAACAATCCCTCCATTTTCCAGAATTTACGAATTGATCTCCAACTTTTCAAAACTTACGAAATGATCCCCATTTTTTTCTAAGGCTTGTATAATACTTCCTTCATCATTTCCAACTCATATATAATTTTTCCATAATTTTCCTCACTCAAACAATCCATGATTAAAACTCATAGAACAAATTCTCAAAAGATCAAACAAGTTCTAATCATCACACATGCTTGAATATGAATCTACTACCTCACAAACATCAAAATCCATCATCAATTTCATGATCCCTTTTTATGAATACAAACCCTTAAATTTAGGATCTTTGAACACCAACAAGATTACCATGCCATATTGGTACCAAAAGATAGAGTTTTTCGCATACAACCATTTTTTATTTACAACTTACACAAAATCCTAATCAAATTGCTTGAAAATGGAGTTGGAATTTTCTCTTACCTTTGAAGAAACCCACGGCTGATTTGGGAGAAGAAGATGAACAAATGCAATGATATGTTGGGTGCATATCATAATATTTTACATTATAATCCACTTAAATGAATATAATATTCACTTAATTGGGATAAGACCAATTTACCCTTAATGAATCTTCTTATTTACCATAAAACCATGACAACTCATCCTTATCATAATTCAAAGTCAAAGATGAAATATTTTGACTTTAGATTTTCGAATTTTCCCATGAAATTTCAAAACTTACATTTTAGTCACTAAATTCCACTGTTTTGATTAAATCTGAATATTTCCATATTTCCAGACCAAATTTATCTGATCCAAAATATTAAAATAATATTTCCAACTATTTATAACATCCTTCAAATTTTTGTAAGATTCCAATTCAATCTGAAATTACCGATTCCTTACCGGTTTTAACCATTTCTAATTTTTCTTTACCAAATTCCAAATTCAAAATATAATTCCATAAAACCCCACTCTCAAGAGTAAACTATCTATTTATGAAATAAAATTCTTTTCAAGAACTTTACCACTTAATTTCCTAAAATTTCTTCCAAGTTTTATACTTTGACCATCAAACTTTCAAAAGGTACATTTTGGTCACTAACCAAAATTTGGGGTATTGCATACCCAATCTTTTGAACACATATTTAGGCATAAGGTTTATGCTTACTCCAATATCGCATAACACCTTCTTGGTGTAGTGATTTCTTATTGCACATGGTATTGTAAAACTAACGGGAGCTTTTAGTTTGGGTGGCATTAGATTGTGCAACATGGTTGTGCATTCTTCCATTTTTAGAGACAATATCCTTAATAAACTTAGCATAGTTCTGCACTTGCTTGATCGCCTCAACTAATGGAAAATTGATGTGAACTTGCTTCAAGATGTCCAAGAATTTCTTGAACTAGTATTCTTGTTTTTGTCTTTTCAGTCTCTTAGGGAATTGTGGCGGAATTTGGATCTCCTCATCCTTCCCATATATTTGGAATTTGATTGATGGACTTGCCATTGTATCTAAAATTGTCGAGGCATGTGGACTTGCCTGGGCAATCACCGTTTCATCAATATCAATTGGGGTATTTTTGTTGGATGTATCTTTCTGAACATGTGTTTGTTCTGCTAGTTGAGTTCTCTCGTAGGATGTGCAGGGGTTTGAGTTAGATTTCGTTCACTCCGGGTGGTGATTACCTTACATTGCTCGTGACCTAATCCTTTTGCGACCTGAATATCATTAGGTAATTCACCTAGTGGTCTTGTGTTCAAAATCTAGGAAAATTGTCCAGCCTGCGTCTATAAGAATTTCAAATTTTCCTATTGGTTCTGCAGTCTCATCTTAGTCCTGCTAATGAAAGTGTCAATCATTTTCATGAAACTATGATTATCAAACATGTAAGATTCAGTTTTAACATAAAATAGTTTAGAGTATTTTCCAAAGAACTAGATGGTGTTTATTGTTGCTGTGGCATCTTTTGCCTTGACATGTTCTATTGGAATCTTGATGCTTGTGTATTCTGATTATTCTAATAGAGGGAATTGTTCGAGTTACTCCATGAAAAATTAGGGTGCTTCCTCTAGGCTGGAGTGTATGTGTTGGACATCACATTGTTATTCTGACTGTAGTTTCCAACATAAAAGTTAGATTATGGGTTCTGTAGATACTCAAAAGAATCAGGGTTATCGTTACATAACTCACAAAAGGAATTTACTACCTTGATCTCCTATGTAGTGTTTGGTCACTACTTATTCTCAATCAAGTTGGTTTATCACGACATTACGCATGACTCCTCATCGTTTTGTAGTTGGGAATTGATAATCATTCTTGGCAAGACGATTCATAGTCTCCATTGCTTCCTCGGGTGACTTGTCGAGGAGTATGCCATTCACCGAGGCATCTAGCATTATTCTAGTTGGTGTATTCATTAAATTTTAAAACATCACCACTTGCTTCGATACCGAGAATCTGTGCTTGGGACATTTACATACAAGCTCCCTATATCGCTCACATGCCTCGTACATGGATTCATCATCTGCCTGCTGAAAAGAAGTAATATCGTTACGTAATTTGTCAGTCATATTTGTATAACTAAATCTAGCAAGGAAATCACGTAATACATCCATCCAATATTCTAGAGATCCGGATAGGATACTATTCTACCATGATTTTTTCTTATCCCTCAGTGAATAGGGGAGTAATTTCATCCTTAGGACATCCTCATGGACTCCTTGTTGCTTGAATGATTTGTAAATTTTCAGGAATGATTTGAGATGTTGTCTGGCATCTTTTGTTGTTGATCCACCAAATTGACCAATTGTGTTGATTATATTGAACATTACTGGTTTCAATTTGAAGTAGGTGGCTTCTATTTCAGGTGTGACAACCTCAATTAATCTCGAATGAGTTTGTTCCTTACTTGAACAGGTCTATCTACTAAAGCTCCTCCTCCTCTTGCTTTGGATATATGGTTGCCAATAGCATTAGGGTCACCAATTGGATCAACGAGTTGGTATCCCATTGTTGTTCGTTGCTCGTATATTTTTCTATGAAAATCTCACTCGATTTCAGGTTCAAATAGATATTATGGTGATGTTGGTCTTGACCTGGTCATACACAAATGCAAAACCACACATTATAAGCTCTTTGAATCTAAAAAGAAAAAGAAAAATATTAATAATTAAGGTGCAAGAAATAAAAATCAAAGTCGTTATTGCCAATCCCCCACAATGGCGCCAAAAAAATTGTTTTGTGATTTGAGTGCTTCACAATTGGTACAAGTATACATGTCACAAGTTATAATATAGAATAGATATCGTATCCACAAGGATGGGTGTAACTCTATGTTCTAACTCCTTGCACTGTAAAAAGAATAAATTGGTGATAGTATAAGTTTGAATTAACGAGTAAAATAAAAAATGCAAGTAAATAAAAGAAGATTTTGATCGAATAAGAGAGCAGGCTGGGTTATCGTGAGTTGTAGTGTGATGGTTATATGAATAGTCTGAGCAATTTACCAAGGCAACTTGATTGGCTTGACAACTGAAAATGATTCAATTGTAGTAGCAACTGGATTCCTCCCATCAAAGCTCTGCGAAGCGTTCTTCAATGCCTTCTTGTTATCCCTAAACTGAAGAACTGGTCAATTATGCATGCCTTGGTGATACATCTCTACGTTAACCATGAGTGAACAGTAATTGATCTTGCGCTTCTTTTAACCGTTGAAATCTGAATCTTATCCCCAAGATGGATTAACCTTCACCAACGTTCGTTAGAATGAAGATCATGCTCATTTGTTTCTTGAATCTAACTATCCCGATATTAGATAAATGCATAATTCTTGACATCCTCTCCCAATTCACTCAAAATCAAATTAAGAACATAAAAACCCAATAACCTAAGCCAATTTATTTAGTTCATGGTTGGATGCAAAAGAAACACAAGATAAAAATTTCTAAACATGAATCAAATAGAAATAAGGAAGAAGATGTGTGATCTGCTATTAGTTTTTCTCTCTCGTCGGCCACCCCTTGCAATTTATGATTTTTTGGTTTTTTATAGGATATTATTAGGTCGAATTAGTTATTGATGAAGATGAGTTTTAGTTGGAATAAAAGAGAGAATGAATCTCTTTTATCTTTATCTTAAAACTCCTTGTAAATCTAACTTCCTTATCTCATTCAAACTCTACGTGGATTTTCAGATTTTTGGGACTTATCCTTTGCTTTTCGTGTTTATCTTGAATGAGGTGGATTTATCCAGTCAACATCAACAATCGGCTCGGCAAACCCTTCAGAAATCAGCTTCCAATGCCACGACAATTCCTTCTTGATAAGGTAAACCCTAATCTGCACAAATTAACACAGACTAGCAGTGTCTTTTCCATAACAACCAACCAAAATGTAATATCAACTTAACGGTGAAGGAAACTATGAAATCATGCATAAATAACTAATAATGAAAATAAATTGAACCTAAATCTAGCAATAATTATGGATAAAAGGGTAGAAAATATAATACTTTTATACACATGCCATTGATCATCTATTTGTTTTATCATGGGAGACAGACGACCAAAGATCTTGAGCATCTAATGAGTGACCGAAAATTTGTCTTATGGAAATTCTATAGCGATAACCTCAACTGTTTCTGATTTCAAGATCAAACTCAAAGAGTATTTTATCTTCAATTTATATTCTTTTAGTTTTTTTTAAAGAAAATTAATTTCTTCCTTTTATTTTTCTCAGGTTCGCTTTCATCTCATATGTTTATTTCGGATAACAATCTTAAGATACTTTTCATTTTCTACCTTTCTTAATCCGAGATGATTTATAATTGTGGAAAAATGAGATGGCAAACAAATTTGTTTCGGGATTAATCCTACTGTATTAACGGGTTTGATAAAATATTAAAGTGGACAAATTTATGTAACAGAAATTGTCGTGGAAGTAATTTTGGTTACTGATTTTGTTTCATAATGTCGATTCTGTTTGATAACAAAATAAAAAATAAATGGGAAATAATTTTCTATTTATTGGAATCTTTGATTTATGTTTGAAATCAATTGAGATTTTAATTTTGTCGTCGAACAAAATTGTTTGATTACTATTAATAATAGAAATCATTTGAAAGTAATGACTTTGTTACTGATTTAGTTTCTAACTAAATATTATTGGTAGAATAAACCAGAATTTATTTTTGGTTTATTGTTGGAATTATTATTAATTCTAATTTTATATGTTAAAGGACATAATGATTTTTGGTGGCCATGAGCCACAACAAGAAGCTTGTAAAATTCTAAATATAGAATTTCAAAATGTAATAACATAAGATGTTATTTTATTTGGTCATGGAGAATTTAACCAAATGTGGTGATGAATATGTTGAACCATTCGGTGAATTTTGTTCACAACATAGTACTATTCATGAAGTAACACCACCATATTCTTCTAAATCAAATAGAGTAGTTAAGCGGAAAAAACAACCTCTAAAAGGAATGATGAATGCCTTGTTAGGCAATTTTGGGTTACAACAGAACATGTGGGGAAGCTATTCTTTCAGCTAATTACCTTTTAAATACCCCCGAAAGAAAAAGACAAGACACCATATGAATCATGGAAAGGTCAGAAACCTTCCTAGAATAGGAGTATCTTGCCAAGGTAAGGGCCCCATTACTAAAGCAAATTAAAATAGGTCATAAAACATTGGATTGCTTTTTCATTGGTTATGTAGAATATAACAATGCACATCAATTTCTTGTGTATGAATCAAAGAATCCTGAGATTCACAAGAATACGATAATGTAATCAAAGAATGCATCATTCTTTGAAAATATTTTTCCTTTATAAATCAAAGTAAGTTGATCAAATTTTAATAAAACGAAATTTAGATACTAACAATGAGGATAATATGGCTGATCAACAAGAGACTGAAACTAAAATAGAGCCAAGAAGGAGTAAACAAGAAAGGGTTGAAAAATCCTTTGGACTAGATTTTCTAACCTTTATGTTGGAGGATGAGCCTCAAACGTATAGTAAAGCTATATGTTCCTCTGAAGGCACCTTATGGAAGGAATCCATTAAGAGTGAAATAGATTCCATCATGTAAGTAGATGGAACAATTTATAAGTACAAGGCTATACTGCTAATAAAAGGATACTTACAAAAGAAATGACTTGACTACTTTGATACATACTTTTCTGTATCAAGTATAGAACCTATAAAAATGATACTCACAATTGCCGCTTTACGAAATCTAAAAGTACATCAAATGGATGTTAAAATAGCTTTCCTAAAGGAGGTCCTTGAAGAAGAAATATATATGAAACAACCAACTTCAAGATAAACGAGTGTGACAAGTGTGTATATGTCAAAACTACAAACTTTGGATATGTTATTCTATTCTTGTATGTTGATGACATACTCATTATTGGAAGTAACAATGAAATAGTAAAACGTGTTAAAGATATGTTAAATTCAAGATTTGAGGCCAATATAATTCTAGGCATCCAAATTAAAATGTCATTTGAAAACCTCATACTACCACACTACCACAACTACACTATGTAGACAAGTTCATTAAGAAATTTAACAAGAATGATTCTGGTATAGTCATAACTCCAATAGACTTTTGTTCACATTTGTCTAAGAATCAAGGTGGAAGTTTTCACCATGTGGAATATGTAAGGGTCATAAGTAGCCTAATGTATCTTATGAGTTGTATGAGACCAGACATCATTTTTGTTGTTACCAGTCTAAGCATATTCACGAGAAATCAAAGTGAAAATCACTGGAAAATGATAACAAGGATACTAAGATATTTTGATATACTCAGGATTATGGGTTGCATTATTCCAGAGATCATGTTATCTTAGAATAATAGTCCAATGCTAGTTGGATATATGATATTTAATAAACCAAAGGTACAAATAGATATGTATTCACTTTAGGAGGAAGATTTGTGTCTTGAAAATCCTCAAGACAAACAATTATAACTAGATTCACAATGGAATATGAGTTTGTTGCTCCAGAAAAATTTGGAGAATAAGAAGAATTACTTCATAACTTTCTTAAGTATATTCAAGAATTACGCCCACAATATGTATATAATATGACAACAAAGCAACAATTGCTAGAACACATAATTTCATATATAGTGGTAAATCGAGACATATGTGTCCACAACACGATACCATTAGATTATTGATCTCAAATGAAGTTATCTCTAATGATTTTGTAAGATCAAAGGATAATATCGTGGACCCGCTAACCAAAGCGTTAAATCGAGATCAAGTTAAGAAAACATCTAAAGGAATTAGACTAAAGCCCATAAAATTTAAAGGTGTTATGTAAAGAAAAACCCTACCTTGTTGATTGGAGATCCCCAAGATCTAGGTTCAAAGGGACAACCTAATTGCATAACCTGTGTACAATCATTATAGGGGTTTTCTAATCCCAAGTTCGTTTATATGATGTAAATAGTGATCAAAGTGGTATAAGCTAAGCAAAAGCTTTTAATGACCATTGTGTGTTTCGGTGAGCTGAGCAACATAAGTCACCTATGTGAGAGTAAAGTGGGACCACTTCAAGGAGACTATTGGGCATAGTTCTTTCAAACTCTTTTAGAACCAAGCAATGTCCATGGCATTAAGGACATGCCCATGAAAACTAAATTATTATCAAATGGGTAGTTATGTAAAGTATATCATCGTTTACACAAACGACATAATAGTTCAAGGACATGCATATACTGTTTAGCCAGTAAAGTAAATATATTATCAAAAGGGAAGGTTCAAAGGAGGACATCTACCTATCCTATGCAACTATTGATTGTAGAGGCTATCACCACACCAAATCAAAATGTTTTTCATAAAATCATCAATTTCATTCATATTCCTTTAAATATTATAAATTAAAATATATTATTTAATTTGAATATTAGTAGGATAATTATTCTTTTGAATATGTCAAATTAAATAGGTATTTATTATATTTTTAACTTTGAATATTAAAAGATAATTATATACTTTTGAATATTTTAAATCAACATAATATCTATTTAAGTTTGAATAGTAAAAAGAGTTATATCTTTTTGAATATTTTAAATTAAAATAAATTTATTATCTTTTTAAATTTTAATATTAAAGATATTGAAAAGATATTTATATCTTTTTAAATATTTCAAATTAAAAGATAATTAAAAAGAAATCGTAATTTAGAGTTTGAATATAAATGATAAGACTATTTTTAGTAAATTCTCCTTTGAGAATTCCCTAATAGAGTGTTAACCTTCTAGGTTAAACACATCTCAGAATTCAAGAAATTATTTTTTAAAAAAAACATTCTCTCTTTCTTAGTTTTTCGGTGATAGTTTAAGGCAAGGATATTTAGTGATATCGAAAGTTTGTGCAACTGTTCGTTGATCATCTAGATATCCTGGGAGAGAGACAACCAAAGACCTTGAGCACCTAAGGAGTGGTCGAAAACTTGTCTTAAGGAAATTGTATAGCGACAGACCTCAACTGTCACTACAAGGAAATGAACCTTTAGGGACATCGCAAATGATCACTAAAAATATTAAATTTATGCACTAAAATGCACAGTGAAAATTTTTTTATGTCGTCAGTAATAACTCCATCACTATTGTATCAGTAACAATTGTTCTAATAATTGTCACAATTGTTAATTTTTTGTGACCATATATTCGCCGCTACTATCAATAGAAATTGTGATGAATTTGTTCGACATTGAAAATATATTTTGTAACATGAATGTTGTCACACTAAGTACTTTTTAGTGACCAAATGTTCGACACTAGTTTCAATAAAAATTGTGATGAATTTGTTTGAAACTAAAAATCTATTTTTTTAGTGACCAAATGTTCAACACTGTTGTCAATAGAAATTATGATGAATTTATTTGACACAAAAAATATATTTTATAACCACAAATGTTGTCACAATAAGAATTTTTCAATGACCTGATGTTTGACACTATTATCAATAGAAAATATAATGAATTTATTTGACATTGAAAATATATTTATGGCCATAAATATTGTCACATTGAGAATTTTAGCGACCAAACGTTGGACACTATAATTAGAAATTGTGATAATTTTTTATCACTCAAAATATTTAACACTATAATATTATCAATTGTGGTAAATTAAATAATCGTAATGATTCTTTGAATTATGATCATTTTTTGACAATAAAAATTAAAGTCATAGAAAAATATTATCATAATAATTATTTTATTGTGATGAATACATCGTCTCTAAATACAATATGATAAAATTATATCTAAAAAAAAGTAAGTCAACTAAAATACAAATAATGTTAAAACATAAAAATATAATATCTAAAATAAACTCTAAAAAACCAAATAGTTTCATAACTATAATAGAAGCTTAGTGCTCCATACCAAAGTTCACTCAATATTTTCATGTAAAAATAGCAATAAGTGAAAAAATTAATTAATATAAAAGTCCTAATTTTTACGAGATTAAAATAACATAATAGTAATGGTAACCAGAACCTACTCTCATTCAGCCATCATCAAAGCATTTAAATGAATAAATACAAACTACATCCTACACTGAACATGGTTCAGTTCATCTATGTTTTCACTTTTATAGTTTACTGCAATTTTTACAATTAACTTCGACTAGATATCTTATAGGGTATGTCAGATTCAAATATCAACGAGTGTACTCTTTTATCTAATATTTTAATATAAATTATAAATAATTACACATTTTAAAAGTGATAAAAATAATTTTCGTCACAAATAATCTATTTTTTGTGATAAAATTTATAAATGTCACAATTAAATGGTCGCTAAACATATTATTTCTTGTAGTGTGTTTTCGATCTCAAGATCAAAATCAAAGAGTATTTTATCTTCCATTTATACTCTTTTATTTTTCAAAGAAATTTAATTTCTTCCTTTTATTTTTTTCAGGTTCGATTTCGTCTTGGATTGTTATTTTGGATAACATAATTTAATGTTTCTAAGCATAATAAACAACAATATAAAGTGAAATATTAAAATTGTGAAACCTAGCAATAAGAATGAAGAGAGATAGAGCATATGGCGTATGTAGAGGAGTTGAAGGTGAGGGGAATTTTGTGTTAGCAGTATCGGAGGCAAGGTTTTATATTATGGTTTTATTTTAGGAGATGAATTTTTAAAACTTTAGAAAGAAGAAAATTTATAAATTTATAAAAGATAAAAAATATGTTATCAATAAAAGATACAAAAAATATCTAAAATATATAATAATTTAAATTTTTAAGGAATACTTCCTCTATTCACGCAATTAAGATTTTTATGAAATAAATTTTGAAATAATATAAAAATAAATTTATGATGCAAATTACAAAAGAAGAAAAAAGAAATTGAGGATTTGATTAACTTTGTCGCTTTAAAAAGGTCAGCTCTCAGCTATCATCTTGTGTAGATGCAATTGAAATAGACGACGTGAGAAATCAGGAAAAGTAGTATTCAGTTCATCCGCACCCATGTGGTATGGGGGAGAGGTCAGGGAAAACAGCGAGTGGCAGAGACAAGCACTGAAAAGAGGAGGAAGTAACCAACAACTTATTGGTCTATGATTGTTTGAAAAATATTCTTGGTTTGAAATTTTCAGTTAAAAGTTTATAATTTGAAATGTAAAAATATTTTTAAAACAATTATTTTCAGTTAAAAGTTTATGACTGAAATATGATTATTGATTCAAATTAAAAAACTGAAGAAAATGTATTTTGTGTTGAAAAAGCTTGTTGGTATAACTTGTTTGGAGTAGGGATGGGCATGGGTCAGATTTTTGGTCCATCCGACCCGACCCGAGAACAAAAAATCCTCCACCCGAGACCCGACCCGACCAAAACAAGATTTCACCCGACCCGATATATAACTTAAAAACCCGACCCGAAATAATAAAAAATATTATTTTTATTTAATAAAAAAATAGTGACTTAATTGAAAAATAATATATAGAGGGATAATATTGTAATTATTCATAAATATATAAGGTAAAATTATATTTTTTTCGGGTTAGGTCGAGTATTTTTCACCCTAAACCCGAACCCGACCAGAACATCACAATTAAAAAACCCTATCCGATCGGGTCGGGACCCGTCGGGTTCGGATCCCATGCCCATCCCTAGTTTGGAGAAGTATTCTCAAATGAAGCTTTAGTAGGACTAGACACTAGATTTCTTTAAATAAAGTTAAAAGTTCGAATATTAATATTTACGAATGAAGTAAACTGAGTTTGAAAGGTTGTCTCAATAATATCCCTTTGTAAAACTCAATTCAAAATAGTTGATTAATAATCGAGTATATACGATCAACGACCGAACATAGTCGGGACATGTGGGCGCCATGATCTCCCAAAAATTGAAAATTTAAATTTTAAACCCTTAAAATTTTCAAAAATTTAATTTGGCCCCCACAAAATTATTAGAAATTCACATCAAGCTTTAAATTTTTTAAATGATCTTAATTAAAACTCTCTCATAATTTTAAAATATCTCATTAAACCTTTCAAATTTTTTAAAAATTTTAGCTTGACCCTAGTTTTTCTAAATGTAAATTGTACTCTTCAAAAAAAATTTAAAAAACAAATTTAAACTTTTAATATTTTTAAAGTTTTAAGTTGATCCTCTCAAATTCTGTTACTAAGTTTTGCCATTGTATAGAGGGGTAAAAACACATGGGCATGGGCAATTGGATTCGAACTTCCCAAATGTATACCCCACCCCCATCACGCACACCACAAAAGTCTAAGCAACGGGTACAAACGCATCATGTTTTAACTCTAATTTTTTGTCTATAGATTCGTAAATAATTCCAATTTGATTTTCCGGTAAAGTAATCTTTTTGTTACTTTAATTTTATCAATTTAGTTATCATAACATTTAAAATTTTATTATATCTCATTTTGACCCTTAAACTTTTGTTTTGTCAAATCGACTTAAATATGACGGAACAATAAGACACCGTTAAATTGACATAAACTACTTTGTCCTTATAGAAATGCGTATAATTTTTTATCTTCTGTCACATCATCAGAAAATATTATATATTGGAAAATAATTACAGCATCTCAAATTTGATTCACATGATCCAATTAAAGTGTCATATTCGCTCACCAAAGCGCATTCGATCCATCCAATCTTTAAAATAAATAATTATTTATTAGTCGACTTTTATTAGTGTCGGAATCGTCTTTCGAGTGGTCTGAAATTGAGTTTCGACTTGAATGAAATGTGTTAGAGTCGTCACCGACCATTTATTTTAAGAACAAATGGGTTGATCAGATACCTCGATTTCTTACCTGATTTACGTCTTACTAAATATGTGTCGGATTCGGGAGTCGGTTACAGTTAAGGAAGGGTTAGCACCATTGAACTGCCCTTTCGGTACTAATAATTTTCAGTTGTCTTAATTAATAAATTGATAAGTTAAAATAAAAAGATAAAATGTGATTCAAATCACTTACCTCCGATTGATTAAAAAAAGTCAAAAAAATGTTAGGTTTGTAAAAAAACATGCTCAATCTAAAAAGAAAAAATAAAGGTTGAATTATAATGTTTTAAGTAAGAAATATGCATGCTAAGGAATTATCATAAATAAAAAAATAAAGTGCTCACATTAAAAACACACAACAGATAAAATAAGGCAAGAAAAAAATCTATTAAATTATAACAGTAAAACACTAATTGCAAAATTTAAGCAAAAAGAAAAAATAATAAAAAAACAATATATAAAAAATGAAAATAAAAAAATAAAAATCTTAAAGAGGTAACTAAATAAAAAATGACTGAAGGTCAAGGAAAAAATAAAATATAAAGAAAATAAGATAAAGAAAATAATAAAGATAAAAAATAAAGAAAATAAAATAAAGAAAAAATAAAATAAATAAAATAAAGATAAATAAAATAAAAAATAAAATAAAATAAAATAAAATAAAGAAAATATAATAAAGAAAATAAAAATAAATAAATAAAATAAAGAGACAAAAAAGAAAAAGAAAATAATAGTAAAAATAATATACATATATAATAAATAAATAATTAAAAATAAGAATAAAAATAAGAAATTAAAACATGAATGGACCAAATTGAAAGAAAAACAAGTTGAGTGTTAAATTTCAAAGTGAGATCAAGATGTAAATTCAATTTAGGGGTCAAAATGAGCCTTTAAAAACAACGAGGGATCGAAATGGAAATTATCCCTTTTTTATTTGAAAACACCGCTCGGGTCATCGGGTCGGTCCAACGGGTCAGTATAAAACCCAAAACCCCCAACTTCATTTTCATTTTCATTTTCATTTTCAAAATCGAAACATCTTCCCCCTTTTAGTTTTTTCTCTCAACTTGTTCATCAAGTTGAAGAACACGACCGGGGTTTAAGCGTGAACACAGTTCCCAGCCAGCAGTTGCCTCGTCGGCCGTCGTTGATCGGTGTCGGCCGCCGTTCATCGGTTGCAAAAATTTTACTTTTTTTTTAATTTTCGAAAGTTTGTCATACCCTCATCTTAAAAACACAAATTTTTTTTTTTTTTGAAAACTAGCCTCGTGGAGGGCTAGATCTAAGAAAGAAGATCTCGAAAATGCCCTCCCCCGTTCATCGACACAACCATCTTTTGAGTTTTTCGGGGTCAAAACGAAGGGGAAAATAAACAGAGTACCCACATGCAAGCCAAAGACCATTGAGCAAAGGTAAAAAAATAGTACCTTTTATTTATTTTCATTTCGAAAAAGTCTTGTATTTCTTTCTGCCGATTTCCTTATGTGATTTTTCGTGTATTTCCAATGTCCCTTCTCAGTTTACATGTGTGCATATATATAGCTAAAAAAACCTATTTTTACTACTCGAACTAAAACTTGTTTGTTTGTTGCTTTTATGTCCCACACATCCATGACGTTGTGTTTGTTGCTGAGAAAAGTGGCGGTTGACCGAGTTGTGGCTGGGATGAAGGAGATGCGGCACTGATGGAGTTTGGCTAGGGTTCGAAGAAAACCCTAAGTACTTTGGGGGTAGGTTCGGGTCTGAACCGGTTCGAGTTGCTGGGTATTGGGTTACCCACTGTTTGGGCCACTGTTGTAATGATTTTGAGTCTGAAAAGAAGAAAGGAAAAAACATGTATTATTTTAAGTAAAATAATATATATATATATATATATATATATATAATATGTATGAATGAAAATTAGTGTCCACAGCTGCCCCTCTTTGCCCATAGTCGTGTAACTAGAATAGGGAAAAGATTATAAGACACAATTTTCTTCTATGAGTGTATCCCTGAGTTTAACATCGAATATCCTCCGTCGTAGAGTTGAAATCCAATGTTATGATTGGTTTGTCAATTTGGACTAAATCACGAAATGACTCCCTCGCTGTGAGGTTAAGTTGAACTGGAAAATTCTGAGCACGATATCATTCGTCGTGAAGTTGAAATCGAACTCAAAACTTTGGCAAGTAGCCCCTGAATCGTCTTCTAGCTCAAGATACTTCATCGTGAAGCTGAAACTTGACCTAAAGACTTCGGTGTTGCTGTGTTACAGATGACCCCTTTGTCGTGAAGTTAGGTCAATCTTTTGGTTATGATATCCTTCGTTGTGAAGTTGAAATCGTAGGAAAATCGGAAAGTGGCTTCTTGTTTCCATTCTTGACCTTGGTCTTCTTTTTTACTTAAAGACCTTGGTGTGAAAATTTGACCGAAAAGTAGTTCCTTGCTGCTACCTTATGGTGAGTAGTTCCTCGAGCTGAATGATATCGAACTCGACAGTGTTTGTTGACAGATAACTCTTCTCGCCTTTAAGTTATGATGTACTTGGCTGGGGTATAAACCCCTGATGTTGCAGATGACTTTAAGTTGATCCGTTGGGCACGATTTCTTTCGTTGTGAAGTATAAATTTTGGATGTCTCATTCGTTGTGAAGTTGAGCTTTGAATTAGATATCCTTCGTATTGAAGTTGAAATCCAATCTAGAGTTGTATTGCTTCACCAAATTGGCTTTGAGTTGGATATCCTTCGTTGTGAAGTTGAAATCCAATTTCTAGTAAATTGTGTCGCTTCGAGTCCAATATCCTTCGCTGCAAAGTTCAAATTGACTCTAGCATGAATCTGTAAAATTATACACTTGTGATGCTATGGATGCAATGCTCCTATGTGTGCCTAACATGCATATGCGAAATATGTTATTTTGGGCTCTAGAGAGAACTCTCGATCTCCGGTCTCCTGTCTTAGTGCCTATCCTGATTCTGGAATCTTGAATTTTTGATTCCCGATATTGAATTTTTCAAATGTTTAAATCTGATATGTAGATTTTATTTTTTATCCTTGATTCGGGAAATGCTTCTCAACCATCTCAAGTGTAGTGCATTAGCCTTGATCGACTTTCGAGTACCTGTACTTTTCAAAAATATTTGGTATAGTAATATGCAATCATCTTTTCAGAAGTGAATAAATAATTAGGTTTAAATTTAACCCAAGATGCTTAGAAAGAATTGATTTAGAGAAATGATCGTCTTTATTCATATAGGGAAAAAAGAACAAACAATACATGACAAATATTCTGGAAATAAATACATAAATGAAGTGTGAATGAATGTATTAGATCTCAATAATGCGGGAACTCTTGTACTGATAAGCCGTTAGGTGACCTTGAACGCAACCTTTGTCAAGGGATCTTCGAAGATGCAATAATGTTTAGGAGAGTGCAACCTTTCTCCGACT